ACCACTTTCGTGGCAGCTGCTTGAATTTGGCTCTCACAATACGTTTTTCGAACATATGCCTAGATCCACTAGTAAACCCTCTGGGAAGGTAGCTCGCCGCCGACGTAGTGAGCGCCGAAGTACCCAATTTGAGAAGAAGAAGCTAAGCTTTTGTGATAGAGGCACCACCTACTCGCTTAGAGCACGGGGCAGACAAACAGCGCGGGCATCAACTGCAGCTAAAGAATAAGTAATATTAGGTTAGGACTCTAAAGAATTCAAGCTGTTCGCTGTTTTTAGGTAATCCTGGTGGGCATATCTATCTTTATTTTATAAATAGCGACTAATATTATCTATAAGATAGTAAGCAGAAAGATATCCTTTAAGACAATATCAAGTTTAGGAAGGGATTTAATATTTATAATATAGGCAAGCTGGTAGAGAAGGTAATTAAAAAGATTTTATGCCAGTTACAGAGGCAGTTAATAGATAGAATTTAAATCACTCAGGTTTAATCTCTCACCTCTTACTACTACTAGTTACTACTATATCAATTACCGTTAGTAATAACATCCAATAACAGAAGAAGCTCTGCACTCTCGAGATCCCGAGTTTCTTTCGCCAGCTAGACCCCATTAAAAACTAAAAGGCATTGAATACTAATAGCACTAAAGCCACGATAATACAATAGTTCCCGGCCGCAGTGAATCGGAAATTCAGCTACAACCATGATGCTGATATTCTTATGACTAATGCCTGCTTCAGCTAACAGTTAAAGCACTGCACAAAGCGTCTTTCCTATGGCAAGTACGTCGCCTATTACCACCACCGATATGCCCCTAGGAATAAGATCTTGACTCCTCTTAATTCTCTTCCTTCCTATATTATTAGGTTCTGAGCACGAGATATGTGATGAAGGCTTCTTGACAGAAACGGTGGGTAGGGGAAGCTTTCTGCGGATTAGCGCCAAGGGGACGTCGACTTGCTAGGCCAACGCCGATGCATACACGAAGCCTCCCGCTTCGCAACAGGCCACCGCACCGACTTTAACCTAGTCACCTTTGAACCGAGTTCGTAGCAGAGAAGTGCACAAAGCCAACCCGCCCTGCCGTTGGGCGATGTTGAGCATATGTTGGAACTCGATGCCTGGGCGTGGGAAGTCAGGCACAGGGACCACCATACTAGCCAGTCGCTCCAGGTCCTTGTGGAAGAGGGGAAGCAGGCACTTATTCGCAAAACCTTCTGACCACGTCGTCCCTCGTTGCTTCATTGTCAAAGACGAGACTGTGGCGGTAATCCAATATTATCGAATTTAACTTACAATTACTACCATTGCTGCCATGATTGTTATTCTTGCAATTATGGTTATGTTAATTATTATCATTGACTTGGCACTTCCGGCGAACTTATTACGTCTTTTCACTAGCTGTGATACGAATATCAAGCAATCTGCTATTCAGAACTAAATATAACAAGGTTACAGTCGGCGCCTCATCTCTCGTCCCAGTGATTACCAGTACATCCATATCTGCGGCATCGGACAACACATTCAGGAAGTGCTTCTCGGGCAGTTGAGGTTGTTGGCGCATCTGTTCCTTGAAGAATGCCGTCAATGCTGGTCTGTATTGTTCCTTATAAGCGCAATCCCCTAACAGAGCATCCAAGTCTGCGCCGGTAGCTGCTGCGTATTCTCGCTTGGTGGCATCGCTGATGCTGGCCTTGCGTGCCTTGCGGTATTTATAGGCATATCCAGTAAACACGAAGACCCAAATATCGGCATAGTACTGGTAGATGATATCTACAACTTTAACGAGACTGGCTTTATAATGGGCGTCATTGCAAGCGGAATGGTTATTACAGGTACAGAAAGGCGTAGACGACCAAAATCAGTGCAGCCTGGGGGCCAGGAATGGATTACTGTCATCCAGGCGATTAGGCCATTGCGACAAGCCAAAATAGCTGGACCAATAACGAGATAGGCCTCGAGTGGCTAAAACACTTTGACCGGTATACAGCCAAGCGATCTAATCGTCGCTATCGTCTGCTGATCCTTGATGGTCACGAAAGCCACCATTCCGCCGATTTTAAGAGATACTGCAAGGATAACAAGATCATCACGCTCTATATACCGGCTCATTCGTCTCACATACTCCAGCCACTTGACGTCAGGTACTTTGGAGTGCTTAAAAAGGCATATGGCCGAGAAGTAGAGCATCTAATCTGATGCGCTATAACCCACGTTTCCAAGACCGAGTTCTTTCCGGCTTTTTACGCCGCATTTCAGGCCAGCATGACAGAAAGAAATATCCAGGCAGCATTCAGAGGAGCCGGGATTATTCCACTTAACCCGGAAAGTGTACTCTCAAAGCTTGATGTGCAGCTACGAACTCCAACGCCGGTTAAGGAGGGGACCGGCCCCTCTACCCCATGGGTTTCAAAGACGCCAAAGACGGTGCTTGAGGCCGGGTCACAGTCTGAGTACCTCGAAGGAAGAACTAGACGTCATCAAAGCAGCTTTCCTAAGTCCATTCTAGGAGCACTGAAGTCTCTTTCTAAGGGAACAAAGGTAATAATGCATAAGAATGCCCTATTAAGAGCTAAGAACCGCGACCTTCAGCAGGTAAATGAGATACTAAGCCGGCGGCAGAGGGCAAAAAGAACCCAACTACAGAAAAGAGGGGTAACAACAGTAGATAAAGGAAGGCAAGCGATTAATCAGATGAATGCTGATGGGCAGGTAGAGGGCAAATCATCGAGAAGTGGTGGTCAAGGAAGGTCAATATAAACGAAGGAAAGGCGTTATGGAGGATGCAGCAAGACCGGGCATAACGTTAGAACATGTCAGATAGTTATTGCGATATCTAGGGAAGAGTATAGCGATTTTCTGTATTATTATAGTGATTTCTATTTTAAATATTAAGATTTTTTAGGACACATGCTTGTCTAGGACATAAGCTTATCATGCACGTTAATACTTTTAGTGCAGGGCAGAATCCATTATCTACTAACAATTAAAAATTTAGCAAATCAAATCCTATGAAAGTCATGCCGCTATAAGGTCATGCCTCTGTATCAAAACCATCATGCCGCTCTATTAATTCCATTTATATTTTATTGTTCTAGGGTTCTATATCCAGAAGAATACTAACTTCTGTTTGCCAGATAGTACAGCTAGGCAATGCGGCTATTAAGAGAACAATAAGTAATTTATTAGCTATTTTATGTGAATGTTTGGTGATAGCCTGGTAATTGCTTAGTTCCTTGGCGTAGGCAATTACCTATCTTTACTTCCTTAGTCCCGTTATTCCGTTCCTTACTGCATACATATGTAGTTAGCTGAAAGTTGCCGTGGCATTCCCGTAGGCTTGGTTGTACTTACTGGTTTATAACTTATTAGGTCCTAACAATAGGCTAGTGGTATTAGTAATTAGCCCCGTAAATCCAGAGCTAACAATTATCCACTATACCTAAGCTCTCTTAGGAGGGTGCTCTATTCAGCCTCTATATATGGCATAACTTGTGACCTTTCTAAATAGTAGTCTTATTATACATTCGTCTCCTTGCTTGATCCAAAAACACATTTCGACTAATTATTCACTAGCCACATAAACGATACAGAGGTGGTCCGAGATATTCGCGATCCTTAGAACCCCATCCTTAGTAGTAAGGTTTTTAGTGTAACGGTTGCACAAGCCGTTAAACCACAGGGCAAAAGATCGGGCCATAATCGCTATGTAAGCAATCATGGGTGTGCTACAGCTACCTTATAGAAGCCTTACAGCGCTGTTACGGGCACGAATCGTAACATTTAGGACGTGAATACTAGAAGTCGTTGTTGTTTTTGTTATATTTTCCATCGAAAGCAGAACCACCTATGCCCTCGAAGCTTACCAAGCCAGGCTTCTTAGTCTGTTTACATTCCACAGCGGCAGCCACCGGCGACACGGCCGCCATAATAACACTGGCGTAAGATATCTTCATTTTCCAATATAGATGTTAAAACTATAAAAGGATAAAATCAGAGTGCTAGAAAATGCAAATAGCAATAAAATAAAGTTATATAAAAACAGAGAGGCTTACAGCACGTCTATGTAATCATATCTTAAATATAACCCCTATATTTCTATTATTAGGGTACTCATCGGCAAATGTTTTACAGAAACAAGGATAACAGAAACTTTACTAACTATTTATTAGTTATATAGTAGGATGCAATAAGTTTAAATATCTTTTAAAGTACTAATACCCCCTATCTAGCCTATTTGGAGTTTAGCCTGCTTCTAATCTGAGGAAGAAACTCAATCTAGCCAATCACTCTATTCTTATTAGCCTTGCAAAAACTAATATGCAAGTGAAAGCTGGCTCGAAGAGGCTAGCGGCAAAAGAAGATACACAACCGGTATTCAAACTTAATGCATCCCACTATACTAACCCCCTTGAAAATAGGTATAGAACACAAAAGACTTTTATTAGGAAAGTTAAAAGATAAAGTGAACGTGCATGAACTAACGTTGTCCTTCACTGACACTATATGAATGAGTTAGTACGTGCAGGTGTTGAACAGATGCTGAGGTCTCACGTGCAAGCAGGGATATTTTAAGATTACAACCGAAATAGTAAAACCTCTAAGGGGTAGATTTCAACAGAACATAACATAAATACATTAATTCACATTAATAAACCAAATACACGTAATATCTAACAGCAGGATGCTCTTATTATAAATATAATAACGTTATATCACTTTAGCACTTTAGCACAGTATAATATCACTTTAGCATATTATAATATGCAAGTCTATAGAAGGCCGCCCGGATCAAGGGGCATCTTCTAGATATGAATCTAGAATAACAACCAGTCCGTGATTAGGGTCAACCCCTCTTTCTATCGCACGAGCATAAATACGGTTAACTTGACGCACAGAAAGCCCGGTTATCTCGGCAAATTCGTTAGTGGTTTTGCCGCTGCAGGGCGCCTTGAGGGACACAACGAAGGCACGCGTCGCGATATCGGTATTTGGGGCCATCGCTAGAGGATCTGTAAGATCGTCAGAAGCGGAAGAGAAATCTGCCGAAGGGGAGGAAAAGGACTATAGTGAGGTTACAGAGGGTTTACAGGGGAAGAAAGGTAGGTAAATCTCTCACCGCGTTTCTTTTGAGTTTTCAGGCTGACTGGGGCCCTGTTGAAGTAAAAGGGTTGATTGTTGTTATTGTTAGTTCTAAGTTACATAAGTCGCCCACCCTAGTTTTGGCCCACCCCTGGCTTTGGCCCGCTCTATTTAGCCTACATCGCACAACTGGTACGTCGACGTAACTAGGTCGCAACAAAGTCAAATTAAATGGTAAAAATACAACAAAAAATCACATTTGGCGCCCTTTAGTCGCTTTCTTCGTCTGCACTTGAATCCCGCTCCATATAGGGTTTTGTTGGTCGCCGATTGCGTGCCGACCGTCGAGCCAGTGCCGGCTCCTCTTCCGACTCAGAGCTACTCTCCCCCTCCACGATAATGACCTCTTGTACCTCATTTCTTGCCTTCCGAACACGTTGTTGAGGCTCTCGATTAGCTTGCGCAAGTATCTGCGCAAGGCTTGCAAAACGCTCGTTCGGATCTTAGACGATTTTACGACGTTTAGCCGGTTTTGCCTGGGCGAGTTCCACCCGCAAGCCTTCGATCTCACGGTCCCTTAGTATAACCTCCATCGCAACCTTATCCAACGCCGCAGCGGCTTTTCGAATAGATAGTCGTGAAGTGGGAGAGCCGCTCTTCTCGGCAAATAGCTTTACGACGTCGCCGCCGCGTTTTGGTGTTGAAATATCCGAGGTGGCACGTTGTGGTATAGCTGGCTGTTTAGCCACCACCACCCATCGAGAATTTAGAGGTTTGGCTACGTTTTTAGGGTATAAGCCTGTCGCCTTCCACCCAGATTGAAGGTTTTCCTTTCGAAGACCAATTTCTTAAGCTTTCGCATAAAATTCAAGAAAGTTTGCCTTTCTAACCTTTGTCGTATCTGTCAGAGCCGTATGCTCGCCAACCAGCCTACGATAGGCCGTTTTTAAACTGGAAAAGCAGCCGAGATCTAAGGGCTGGAGGACATGGGAAGTATAAGCAGGGAAAAAGAGTAAGTGAATGTTGTTTAGGTAACACATAGTCATAAATTCGTCTGAGGTATGACTGCCGTGACCGTCGACGATAAGTAGGCGACCATCGGCTGGATTATCAGGTTGCGTTTGGGGTAAAAACACCTTCCCTAACCACTCGATAGTAATATTATTGCTTATCCACCTGTTTTCCGAAAAGGTAATATGTTAGCCAGGATGCTTAGCTAGGAAATCCTTCTTGAACCATTGTTCTTGGATACTTTTGGCCTTGAAGATGACCAGAGGGTTTAAAGCGACCCCGAGCGCCGAGATACACTCCATAATAGACATCTAAGTCCGGGCATTTATCGTTTTGACTGGTATCGCGTTAGAGTTCTCCTGCGAGGAGCCGATAATAAGCCCGTTAATGCCTTGGCCCTCCATAATGCCGCCCTCGTCGGCGTTATACCTCCGCCGGGGAGGGATCCAGCTCACAGTCTCATATAGGTTGAACAGGTGCCTGATATTATCCGGAGTGGCCGCATTTATACGTTTCCAGTCAGTTCGACGGCCTAACTTTGTCTTGATGGCCAAATGGCGCTCCACGAAGTGACTGGACCACTTCCTCCCTAGGGGTTTGTGGTCACCTTGTTGTTTAAGCACGCTGCTAGCGATTGCTCGAACTTGTGCATGTGTTAGCGCGTAACCGAGGGCCTCCTGCCGCAAAATCCATTGCTTAAGGTGTTCTTCCTGATTGGCCGTGAGCCGCTGTTGGTCGTCGTGTGCCGTACATTGAGGTTGGGCACCATTAAGGCGGGCACGAAGTGTCCCTCTTGGTACTCCATGGCGTGTGGCAGCGGTCCTGACGGCAACCCCATTCCTGACGTCCACGATGGCGTTTTGTAGGTCCTGCTCAGTATATTCAGGCATTTCGAACACGGAGAGGGAAATACAAAAGAAAGTAAGTCAATTGGAGAAAAATTCGATTTTTAACAATTTATCGTAGGTGGCAGCGCTGATCTGACGCATGCAGCGGAGCGCGTTTATGGGGCGGACCAAAGCCAGGGGTGGGCCATAACTAGGGTGGGCGACTTATGTCTGAGAGGAGCACAGCTCCTTACATAGTATCCACATCCTAGCCACCAGCAGATCAGACCACCTTAGCCATACTGTCTCAACACTCCCACTCGAGCTGCTGTTGGACTCGATATGCATGCCTATCGAGCCTCATTAAAACCCCAAAAACACCTTCGTAGGTGAAAACTGCAGGGAAAGAGCTATCTCGATAAGGGCGCTTAGGATCTCTTAATAGTCTCATGTAATCTTAGAGCAGTAGGTCTTCTTCTATCTGCAGAAGATCTCCCTCTAAGTTTATTTTTACACCTTTCCTCTCAGTCCGATGCAATCCTGAACTTGTTGGTCTTCTTCTATATATAGAAGATCTCCCACTGAAGCCTATCTCTGCAGGTCTTATAAGCTTTCTTGGGACTATAGGTCTTCTTCTGTCCGCAGAAGATCTCCCTCTAAGTTTATTTTTGCACCTTTCCTCTTAGTCTGATGCAATCCTGAACTTGTTAGTCTTCTTCTATATATAGAAGATCTCCTGCCTATGCCTATCTCTGCAGGTCTTGCGATCTTATGATTACAGGTCTTCTATCTGCAGAAGGTCCCCTGCCTATATCCATCTCTGCAGGTCTTGAAATCTTTCTTAAAATCGCCGGTCTCCTGTCTATAATAGGTCTCCTACTTCAGTCTATCTTTGCATATTCCTTATGCTTGGCATAACCTTAAGATTATGGCTTTCCTTCTACTTGCTTAGAAGCTCTCCTACTCTACCTTACCTTTACGCCTTCTTTATGTTTCTATGTAATCTTGGATCTGTGGGTCTCCTGTCTATCTATGGCAGGTCTCCTGTTTTGGTTTATCTCTGCACCTTCTTATAGTTATCATTCTTTAAGACCTAGTGCATTTCTAAATAGAAGGAAATAATCCTTTGGTAAGGCCTTTGTTAGGCCATTAGCCACTTATTTGCCTATTAAAATATACTAGAACTTAATAGTTCTATTATTAACTTTCTCTCTGCAGTAATAATACTAAATATTAATATGCTTGGTTCTTATATAGAACTGCGGATTCTTAGATATTGCGATTGCTTCTTGGTTATCCCTGAAGATTATAGTTATCTTTAGTTCTAGAACCTCCTTGTATTCTTTTAATAGCTCTTGGAGCAGACCTCGCAGCCAGACTGCTTCTTTTGCAGCTGTGGTTTGCCCTATGTATTCTGCTTTGCATAAAGATAGGGCCATAGTTCTTTGTCTCTTCGAGCTCTAACTGATAGCGCCTATACTAAGGTTAAATATATATTTAGATATTAATCTTTGAGTCTCTAGATCTCCTGCCTAATCTAAGTTGGTGTAGCCGAGGAGAGGTTATAGTTTACCTTAGTATACTAGTTTTAGATTTTGTGATCCCTTGAGGTATTGAAAGATATACTTAATAGCTGTCTGATGCTTGTTGGTTGGGTTTGCTAGGTGTTAACTATATAAGGAGACAGCAAAAGCAATATTAGGTCTTGTCCTTAGTATAAGATATATCAGGGACCTAATCGCCTTGGCATACCACTCTTTGAGTTTATCTGCTGCCTTATAGTTAGGGCCTGGTTCTCCGAACTTGCTAGTTAAAACTGGTGTGGTATTAGGAGCGCACTGGTCTATTCCAAAGTCTCTAAGTACTTTCTCGAGGTAGGTCATCTGCGATAAGAAAATCGATTAGTTTGCTCTGTCTCTTCTTAGAGATATGCCTAGGTAGTATTTACATAGACCTAGGTTGGTTATCTTGAACTTATTATATAGAGCTTACTTAACTGCTATAATCTC